TTTTTTTTTTTTTTTTTCTCTCTCTTCTTTCTTCTCTCTACATGATCGGCAGAAGCTCGTGCCGGCAAGGCTCATTCATGAATGACGTGACGACGGGAAGACGCGGTCCAACTCTGTTTTGGCATCCATTCCATTGCTACCGTGATGATGACAGGATCACCGTCCAGATATTCTTGGGCTTCCATGGTACGCGTAAGTTCCATCTCCCACCAGCGATACGCATCAGTCTCAATCGCGAGTAGACAAACCCCCCCCCCCCCYCGGGACCCTGGGAGACTTGGTACCGAGAGGGGGAAAAGGGGGAGGGGGACGCCTCTCTCCTGATCCCTTCCCGAGTCCGCAAGGCGGCTGGCTGATCCCCTGAATCTTGGGCGGCCATTAGGGTAACGCGCGCAGGGCTGCTCCGTACCTCTCTCTCTCTCTCCCCCATCCACATCTACGGAGCGATGACAGTACATCTACTCGTAATCTGTACCTGCTACCTGCTACGAGTACGAGTAACTCCGTGCGGACGAGTAGTAGGAGTGGTACAGACGATTAGATCATTACTCGTACACTCGTACATGTAGATGTAGATTAGCAAGGGACTCCTCTCCACCCAATCTTAACACATGTCGTCGTCGGCAAGTCTTACTGGCCCGAATCGAAATCCACAACCCACATAGCCTCCTCGGCGAAGTACAGGATACCGGGGGGGGTCTCCAACTCTTTTTTTTTTTCCTTGTCATCCAACTCCACCCTCTCTCTCTCTCTCTCTCTGTCTCTTGTCACGCGAGACGATCCTCCTCGAGTCCCGCCAAGTGGAAGTGGATTAGTCTGCTTCTCTCCTTCGCATGCGAGTGGTGCGTGCTACCATTACCTACGATCATACCCAAAACTCCGTATATACAGACGACTCTTCACACCTCGACCCCCCTCCCTCTCTTTCTGGCTTTCTGGTCAGTGAACCCGTGCCGTCATGCCGCCTTCCCTCATCAACCTTCTGCAAGGCCGCCTCGTGAGACGTACGGGCACCGTCATCCTCCTCTCCGTCGCCGTCGCCGTCACCGTCGTCGTCCTCTTGGCCAGCCCCCTCTCTGGCAGCAGCCCATCAAACCGGCCACCGACGTTACACTCAACCGATGAGTCGATAAAGCAGCGTGTTCCCCGGTGCGACTCGAGCCACCGCACTCCTGCCGTGGAGAAATGGCATGCTCTCAATGCGAAATATGACAGTCTGGCCGATGACAGGTTTACGTATGTCTTGCCTCTCTCATACATACATATATACATATATATATATACACACATCATAGGAAGAAGAGGGAAAGAGGAAAGCTGACAGTGATGGGGGGGGGGAAAGCATCTCCCTATCCACCTTCCACCGCCCCAAGGAACTGGCCCACGTCCTGGGTGCCCTCCTCTCCGAAAAGATCCCCTCGCTGCTAGAGATCGTCGTGATATGGAACAACCTCGACGAGCCCACCCCTGCACCCTTCACCTCCGATCACGGCGTGAGCGTGCGGTACCGCAAGCCCGAGCGCGACAGCCTGAACGAGAAGCTCCGCGTAGACGGGGACTACCGCACCCAGGCCGTGCTCCTCTCCGACGACGACATCTACTACCGGCCCGCCGACCTCGAGTTCGCCTTCCAATCCTGGCGGCAGTTTGGCCGCCACCGCGTGACGGGCGCGCTGGCCCGCTGCGCCGACCTCGACGCCGACGGCGGCGGCTGGACGTACGCCCCTTGCCGCGGCGACGCCCCCTACTCCATGGTCCTGACCAACCTGGCCTTCGTCCACATCTCCTTCCTGGACTTCTACTTCACCGACGACGTCCCCTGGCTCGGGGCCGTGCGCGACGCCGTCGACTCCCGCTTCAACGGCGAGGACATCGCCGTCAACTACGTCGTCTCGCTGCTCACCGGGAATGCGCCCCTGCTCGTCAGGGGGTCGGAGCAGTACGTCAACCTCGACCCGGCCGGCGGCATAAGCAGGAAGCCCGGCCACTTCGAGGCCAGGTCCTCGTGCCTGAACGAGTACGCCGATGCCATGCGGTGCATGCCGCTCGTCGAGCAGGAGGCGCGCGTCGAGCGAGGCGTCCGGTACAATGTCTGGTACAAGGCCCTATGGGATAGGTATACCTTGTTCTGAACACTCCTCATCCTCCTCCCTCCTCTTCATCGTCGAATTCTCCATCATGATCATGATCGTCATCTTCTTCTTCTTTCCATTCTGAAGCGTTTCACTGTCTGTCACAAGTCTTTCCTATATCTGTCCGTGATACTGAAAAGATATAATGCCCGATATGCATCTACACATGGCTACTAGCATCACCATAATACATCATAATACCTTTCTCCTCTCCTCGATCACGCGAAACCGCTCGGGAGCGAGGCGCTCTACTGACTCGCATTTGAGAGGGGGTGATGTTTCCGATTTCACTAGAATAAAATCGACGATGCTCACTCTACCCGACAAGAGCGATCCTCGGCCTTCGCACCTTGGGTGACGCAAACCCTTATCCCTATAGAAACCGAAGCCCCGAGTCCATCCGGAGCGGATATAGGCCGGTCCGTTCCTTAGGTGGTGGGGGGGGGGGGCAAGTCCCCGTCGTATAGCGAGATCCGTCATGGTCAATCCGATCCAACTGGTACTCGTACGTAGCCTATGCATCCGCGTACTCTCTGTTGAACGCGCGCCCGATGACCATCCGGCGAATCTCGGACGTTCCCGCTCCAATCTCGTACAGTTTGGCACTACGCATGGTCAGCTCTTCTCTCACACCCTGGGGAAATCTTCCTGCGGAGCAGAGCAGGACCAGAAGACACGAAACAGAAGGAGAAGGGAGAAGAAGAGGAGAAGAAGTAGAAGAAAGAATCTCACTCTCTGAGCAGTCTGGAAGCCGGCATCTCCTCGACATAGCCCATCCCCCCCAGCAGCTGTATACAGTCGAGCGCCGACTGGGTAGCCCTCTCGGCAGCGTAGAGGATAGCCCCGGCACAGTCACGCGTAGCTATGCGGCCCCTCTCGTCGACGTCCCTGGCCGTAGCGTAGGTGTACGCCTTTGACGCCTTGAGGCGGGTGTACATGTCTGCCAGACGGCCCTGGACCAGCTGGTTGTGGGCGACGGGCTGGCCGAACTGGCGACGCTGGTGGCTGAAGGGCAGCGCTACGTCGAGGGCGGCCTGCATGATGCCCAGCGGCCCGGCGCTGAGGACCAGGCGCTCCAGGTCCAGGCCCTGCATGAGCACGCGCACGCCGCCGTCCACGGGGCCCAGCACGTCGCCGTCCGGCACGAAGACGCCGTCAAAGGACAGCTCGCCCGTGTTGCTCCCGCGCATGCCCATCTTGTCGAGCTTGCGGGTGCACCGGAAGCCCTGGGCGGCCCCGGTGTCGACCAGGAAGGCCGTTATGCCCTTGGACCCGGCGTCCGGCCGCGTCTTGGCATACACCACCGTCAGGCCCGCGTCGGGCCCGTTGGTGATCCACATCTTGGACCCGGTGATCTCGTACCCGCCCCTGACCCTCCGGGCCACGGTCCGCATGCCGACCACGTCGCTGCCCGCCCCGGCCTCGGACATGGCCAGCGCCCCCACCGTCTCGCCCGACACCAGCCCGGGGAGGTGCCGCTCCTTCTGGTCGGGAGTCCCGTTCAGCTGCACCTGGTTGATGCACAGCTGCGAGTGCGCCGCGTAGCTGAGGCCTATGCTCCCCGACGCGCGTGACAGCTCCTCCATCACCACGCAGTGCGCCTGGTACCCCATCGCCAGCCCGCCCACCTCCTCGTCCGCCGTGATGCCCAGCAGCCCGGCGGCCCCCAGCTTGCGCCACATGTCCGACGGGAAGGCGTTGCTCTTGTCCGTGCGGGAGGCTACCTCCTCCGTCACCTCGCGGCGCGTGAAATCCTGCACGCGCTCCCGCAGCTCTTCCAGATCGTCTGCCGACGGGGGCGTGAAGCCCTTGGGGTGTTTGCCGCTGGTGTGCCATCTGTGTGTCGTCATTGTGGGGACCGCTGGGACCCGCCAATATCGTGGGGTAGCACCCCGGATTGTGCGTGCTATCGCCATGCTGTCCTTTATTCTCTCTCTCTCTCTATATATATATATGTGTGTGTGTATATATGTGTGTGTGTTCACTCTGGAGGAATTGAAAGAATGGGAGAAAATAAAGCACAGTGCAGAGAGGGGAGGACGGAGAGATGGATGGGAGATGGGAAGGCGGAGGGAGGGTTGATGACAGAGGTGGGTTGTCAGCGGCTCGGCTCAAGGCGGCTTGAACCGGCCGACAATGCCGTGTCTTGAGCCTCGGGACGTACAACATGTATGATGTACATCACATCCCCCCTCCCTCCCTCCCTCCCTCCCTCCCTCCATCCATCCATCCATCCACCCTCTCCTCATCTGCATCCTCCTCTAGAAAGAGATTCGAGGTAGAACTGTCAACCCAGAGGGCTAAACATTCTTTCCCCTTCCCAAAATGCGCGCCCTCCGTCTAGGATGCCGACTCCCGCGGCGACCTGCCCGACGCACCATAGCTAGCTTCACGCCGCGGCACCAAGCCGACGCCGTCTCCCGTCTCCCGTCGACGGTCGACCCGTCGTCGGAAGAGTTCAAGGAGAACTCGCGGCAGATGGGCGAGGCCCTCCGACGGATCGAGGAGCTCACTGCGCGCGCGCACCGAGGAGGGTCCGAGAAGGCGCGGCAGAAGCACCTCTCGCGCAGCAAGATGCTGCCTCGGGACCGCGTGGCATCTCTCATAGACCCGGGCACGACCTTCCTCGAGCTCTCGCCCCTGGCCGGCCACGGGCTGTACGCCGGCGAGGGCGGCACGGCAGCCGCCGGCGAAGAGGTCGTCCCCGCCGGAGGCATCATCACGGGCGTGGGCGTCGTCTCGGGCGTGCGGTGCGTCATCGTGGCCAACGACTCCACCGTCAAGGGCGGCACGTACTACCCCATCACCGTCAAGAAGCACCTCCGAGCCCAGGCCGTGGCCGAGCAGAACCGGCTGCCGTGCATCTACATGGTCGACAGCGGCGGCGCCAACCTCCCCCACCAGGCTGACGTCTTCCCGGACGCCCATCACTTCGGCCGCATCTTCTACAACCAGGCCCGCATGAGCGCCGCCGGCATCCCGCAGATCTCCGTCGTCATGGGCCCCTGCACCGCCGGCGGCGCCTACGTCCCCGCCATGAGCGACGAGAGCATCATCGTCGGCGGCGGACAGGCCCACATCTTCCTCGCCGGCCCGCCGCTGGTCAAGGCCGCCACCGGCGAGGTGGTCTCTCCCGATGACCTCGGTGGCGGGGAGATGCATAGTTCTGTGTCGGGTGTGACGGACTACCTTGCCGTCGACGACGCGCACGCCATAACTCTGGCTCGGCGATGCATCGAATTCTCGGCCCCGCCCCGCTCTTCCGACCCGGACTCTTCCCACCCGGCTCCGCCTCGCCCGTCGCGAGAGCCGCTCTACGACCCCGACGAGCTCCTAGGCATAGCAAGCACCAACCTGCGCAAGCCCCTGCCGATCCGCGACGTGATAGCCCGCATAGTCGACTCCTCGCTCTTCTCCGAGTTCAAGCGCGACTACGGCGCGACATTGGTGACGGGCTTCGCCTCCATCCACGGCCACAGGGTCGGTATCGTCGCCAACGACGGCATCCTGTTCTCGTCTTCGGCCCAGAAGGGCGCGCACTTCATCCAGCTGTGCTCGCAGCGTGGCGTGCCCCTCGTCTTCCTCCAGAACATCTCGGGCTTCATGGTCGGTCGCGCCGCCGAGAACGAGGGCATAGCCAAGCACGGTGCGAAGCTGGTCACCGCCGTGGCCTGCGCCGCCGTGCCCAAGCTGACCGTCGTCGTCGGCGGCTCCTACGGTGCCGGGAACTACGGCATGTGCGGGAGGGCGTACGACCCGCGCTTCCTCTGGCTGTGGCCCAACGCCCGCGTCGGCGTCATGGGGCCCGACCAGCTCGCCGACGTCATGGAGACGGTCGGTCAGGGCAAGGCCGTGCCCGAGCTCAGGGGGAGGATCGAGGCCGAGACTCAGGCTACTTTTTCTACGGCCAGATTATGGGTATGTTCTTCTTCTTCTATCTTTCTCTCTCTTCATCTCTCCATTGTCTTATCTTGTTCTTCTCGTTGACGTATACACACCTCTCATCATCCCCTTTACCTCTTCAACATGTCTTTGCCCGATCAATACTGACCCCAGCTCAGGACGACGGCATCATACCTCCCCAGCAAACAAGACACTACCTCGGTCTAGGTCTCGACGCTGCCATGGGCGGTAGCAACAACGTCAAGCCTGGTGATACCAGATTCGGTGTATTCAGGATGTGATTCTCTCTTTTTCTTTTTCGTCGTATCTCATGCTTCTACCCATCTATCCTCTGCTCTCCTAGTGAATGCGGTACTTCCTCCATCCTGTCGTATATAATCAGCCAACTACGAGCTTCGTTCAGCTTGAAATCAACACGAGACAAGCACAGCAATAGAGCACATGAAATGCCGAATGAATGACAACGCTCAGACACACACACACACACGCACGCACGCACACGGCTGAACCTTCTAATGATTCACCCGACTAGTTGGCGAACTTCTTGTATAAGACATCCCCTCCAAAAATACAGCCCCACAGAATAAGACAACTAAAAGTTTGACACCCGAGAAGGCATACCGCGCCCCCCTCCCCCCCCCCTTTTTGAGTGAATTGAGTGAATTGGCTATATTTTAATGTCATCGTATTCTATCATTAAACCCAAGATTGCTCTACCTACACCTACATCTCTCTATCCGTTGCCTGGCTTGATTCATCCTAGCGATGCTTGGTCGTCTTCTTTGACACCGTTCTTGTCAGAATAGACAAGAACATCTCTACTTCTGACCGACGACCCGAGAAATAGTATGACAATGTTGAAGAAGAAGGAGAATATATATATTACTATATTACGAATAGCCTCATAGTCTAGCTAAGAGGCGGTGTTGATGGCCCAAGGTTATAGGGTCACGTGTTTCAACCAGCCCTCAAGTTCTCTCTACCTCACATTCATATATACACTAGCTAGTTAGATAGATCATCACCACCTTCATCTTTCCTCTCATGCGTGGTCCCTTTCTCGGTGTCCAACAGACGATATGAAATCCATGCTGCTTTTTTTTATATTGGGTTGAGAGAGAGACAGAGAGAGAGCACCAACAGTTAAGAACCTCCCACATCACCGTCACCGACATTAATCTGTAGGCTCAAAAGGTCAATCGTGTTGCCCGAGCTGAGAGTCAGATTCATGGCCTGACGGTTCTTGGCGCGGCGTCTGCTGGCCCTGGTGAAGAATTGCTCCATCGCAGCCTGCGCCTGGGAAGCGCTTGTCTCGTCCTCTTCCTGGAGGACGTAGAGTACCGCCACCCGCGCGAAGTCGAGGACGTTCTCCGACGCGCTGAAGAAGCCGGAGGCGTCAACGTCCGAGTCCGATCCGGAGTCTGCGCGGCGCTGCTGGACCATGGCCTTGCTGCTGGCCATGCCGCCATCGTCCGTCTTCAGGCTGGAGACGCTCGAGTCAGAAGACTGCCCTTGCCGGGTTGAGCGGCCCTGGAAGGTGACGAGGGAGTTCTGCGCTCGGCAGGACAGATCGCCATAGTTGATCTTGGCCAGGATCTGCGAAGGGCTGAGAGGGATCGAGAAGTTGGCGCTCGCATCCTCCACCAGACGCGGGATGGCGGTGCCTAGCGTCACGTTGCTGATGGTCGACGACGGGCCCGTGCCCACCAGGTCGGTTGTGGTGCAGCCCTCGGAGCCGGAGACGCTGCAGTCGCGGCCGGTGAAGCCGTTCGTGCAGATGCACGAGCATGTCCCCTGCGAATCGTAGCTGGTGCCTCCGTTCTTGCACGTGAGCGACGCGGCGCACCTTTCCGTGGTCGACTCTGGCTCATCGTCGTTGCCACCCAGATTCTTGAAGACGAAGGCCTCCAGGGGCAGGACGATAGCGGCGGCGAGCAGGCAGAGAGCCAGGAGGACCAGCAGGGCGATCGCCCACTTGGGGAGGCCACAACAGCATCCCCTCTTCTTCTGCTTCTTCTCGCCGCTGCCAGCACCGTCTCCGCGAGGTGCTTGTTGGCCGGGTCGAGGCGATGCTGACGAGTCCACCTCACCAATGTCCCGCAGACGGCTCGGGGCCAGGGGCCATGACGTGGTGGGGAACCACGAGCCACGACGCCTCCTTTCTTGCGGCCCGGCCTGAGCGGGCGAAGGGAAGGCATTGAGCATGTCGGAAAGACCGGAGTGGTGTCGTCTGGCCGCCACATCGTCCTTGGCATTGCCGTCCGACTTTTCCGGAAAGTCGTTGAGGCCATCGATCCGGCTAGCGGGGCGCCTCCCGCCCTCGATCATGGCCGCCAGACGGGTGGCTCTCTTGATGAGATCGGGGAGGCTGGTGAGGCTGCCTCGGGCCTCGGCGGCACGGACGGCGTCCATGTCAAGCCTGGGGGGGCGCTTGAGGCCCGAGAGTCGTCTGCTGTTCGAGCGGGCCGGCGGGAGGGCCGAGGGGCGCTGTGGGCCGAGGTCCTGCTTCTCCAGGTCGGCAGCACTGCCGGTCGGGCCCCTCAGGCCCACGGGGACGAAGAACTGCCTGCTCGCCTGGTTGGCTCTGTCGTCGGCTGCGGGCGTCACCGCGGGCGTCACCGCGGGCGTCGCTGTGTCTGATGAGCTGCTGGTCTCGTCGACGTATCCTGTGCCGGCCTGGAATGGCCTCTGCACGGGCTGTGGTGAGGGCCTTGCGGAGCTGCCTGCCTTGTTCTCGACAAGCTGCGGCCTCCCCTTCTTACCGATGCTTGCGCTCCGCACGAGGTTGCTGTTATCCTCGTACTCGTCGCCCATAGAATCGCGGCTAACGTCGGTCATGGTGTCGTCGAAGAAGGAGTCGGGGTTGCTATAGAGCGGGGACGATGGCGACCAGTTGCCGGGCATGGCCGCGCTCGAGGCGTAGGACCCGTGCGACCTATTGTTCTCCTCGGCGATGGGCGAGACGTTGGACATGGTCGAGTAGTACGACGAGACACCGCGGCGGGCCGCGTGGGGACCCAGGTAGAGACTCCTCCGGGGCGGTGGTGGCATGTCGGGAACGGCAACGGCCGCAGGGGTAGGAAACTCGGGAATGGTTCCCATGGACGACGTGGTGAGCCTGGAAGATGGCGTCATGGGGGTCACGGCAGCCAACTCGGGTTCCGTAGCCGCACCTCCATCCCTGCCGTGCTGCTGGTGTGTCAGGAACACGGGCGTGGGCTCTTCGGGTCGGTGCTGGTTCACCATCGAGGGAACTCTGCTCGGACGGGGCGGACGCGGAGGCGCACGGAGGGGGCGACCTGACGGGGCCCCGGTGGAACCCGACGGCGAAGGCACAGCGGGAGAGCCAGAAGGGAGCGGCCAGTTTGACAGGTGAGTCGGTCTCGAGATGACGGGGGTCATCTTTCCCTCGGAGCGAAACGGGAAGCGCGACCTCGACGAAGGCGCGGCGGCCGAATTGGACGACATCGCGGCTCCCATGGGGGGCGGCGGCGGCTGTGCTGACGACGGAGGGGAGGTGATGTGACGACGTGGGGGAGGACTCAGGTTTCCGATGGGCGAAGAAGAAGCGTCCGAGTCCATCGTAGGAGAGTACTGCTGGCGGCGGGGGGCACCGGGCCCGTATGCGCCGGGATCCCTCTCCCTCTGGCGCATCATGGATGCAGCTGGGGGCATTGGCTGGTCCATATCCCATCCATGATTGGGTCGGCTCATTTAGAAGCCAGAGGTGGAATCCGGCTGCACGGTTACAACGGCCCAAGGGGTCGGTGGCTCTGGATAGCTGGCGCTGCGCCGTCGGCTCCAATGGTCCGGATTTTGGGTTCAGCCCTAATGATGAGGGTTGCTTTACAGCAAGGGGGCGATGAGGTTGCAGTAGCACCGTGTCTTGAGGTGTGACCGGTGAGGCTGGGCAACGGCAGACGGCGTCCGGGTATGCGGTATTAAGCAGGCAGGCGTCCAAGGTAGCACGGACGAGACGCGCACAATGGGCAAGTAAGTATACGGTATCGGCGTCGTTGCTGCTGTCGTCGCTGTCGTCGTCGTGGTGAAGAAGTCGAAAACGAGGGTGTCAAGATCCAGGACCGGGTTTAGGGTTAGAGAAAATCGGCTCTCCGGAGAGCACTCCAGGCGGGTGATGGAACGAGACAGATATGAGGCAGCGGATGCTCTCGGGAATGGGCAAGAGGCGACCGGCGCAAGGTGGCTCTGAGAATCGTCGTCGTGCAGAGCCAGAGGAGTGGCAGCAGCAAGCTCCCGAAGACGCGGGTGGGTCAAGAGAGAACAGGTCGACGAATACTCAGAGAAAGAGCAGTCAGGAAAGGCAGGTTTCAGGGCGGTGTCACCAAAAGCACCAACAGCGTGATGGCAAGCATAAAGACGCAGCGGGATCAGTCGGGAAGAGAGCGGAGGATCGGTTGCCAAGGGCTTGTCGGTCTATGTCGTCTCTCTCCTCACTACGGGAAACGGTATATGTCGCAGGATCTGTAACGGGTGACGGCTATTTCTTGGGCGTAGGAGAGCGAGTGACTGGTGAGAAGCAAAAGAGAAGGGGACTGCTCCGATATGTCGCGTGGAAGGGAATCAAGGAGAGAGAGAGAGAGAAAGGAAGAAGAGCGTTGTCGGTACAGGATGAACACAGAACCCAGAGAACAAGAGAGAAGAAAAGAAACCCAGCCAATTCAAGGCCGTAGAAAGAGAAGAAAAAACGGATGTGAAAAACGAGGGACTGAACAAGACGGAAGGTGCGACAAGCGCAACTGCTTCGTGTGTCGGGAGAGACGCGGGGGGGGGTGGTCAGTGTGTGACGGGGTAATACCCAGCGACTCTTGGGAGTTACTCTTGCGAAGAGTAGGAAAAGAATGGAAGGAGCAGAGGGAAACAGCAACAAAGAGGGGTCTCAGCACATGGTCCGTGACTAGCACGAAGTTGAGAAGGAAAAAGAAGGGGCAGAGAATGGCGAATGATGCGTCGATGGAAATCGGATGTGGAGTGAGAGAAAGAGCCTATCTCTCTCCTGGAAGAACGAGGGTGGACAAGGGCAGGACCGCATAGTACGACCGCTCGATTGAGAGTACAGGTGAGGTGTAATGATACCAAGTATAATGAATGATACGACCTGCCGTGCTGTGCCTGGTCCTGTTGTATGGACTCGGCTGTGCCAAGGTCCCAAGATTGAAGGGGCTCGTCGGACCACGGCAGAGCTCGAACCAGGGAACCCATAGGCGGAAGGGTACAGATAGAAGCGAGATCCATCATGTTGCTTGGGGTGAGCCAGACCCCTCCCCCCCCCGACCCCCGGTCACTCTTTAGGCTGGCGGGGGGGGGTCTGTGAGCGAAGAGAGAGAGAGGAAGAGAGGAAGAGGTCAAAGTACGTCGCGGGCTGGTTGTCTATGCAGGGATCATACAGTAGGACAGTATCGTATTGGGTCATTTGATCCGAGACTGAGACGTGAGACATGCCACCGCTGCTGTCCCGAATATTGGTTCACCACACATTCAATGGTCTCGTCCCTCTCCCTTCTTCCTTTCCCTTTCTCTCTGACGCTTATGATGATTACGATCAATAATGTGATGGTGAGTGGGAAGGATCAAGCAATTGACTGGCTGATATGATTTATCTAGCACCAGATCTGTGGCCCCCAATCATTGACCAAGAAAGCTGTCGGAGAGAAACCAGCCAGCTACAGCCTGCAGCCTACAGCCCAGTACCTCCTGTAATACAGATACAGTACAGTGTTCTGCCCCTCTCCCCCTCCCCTTGCCCAAGCGGGGATCCTAGCAAACCCCCCCCCCCCCCCCCCCCTTCCGACCGTTGACTGGAAACACTAGCGTCATGCGCTTTACTCTTTTAATATTTTCCCTTCCTTCTTCGTCGTCTCTCTCCTTGTCCTTTTCTCGACTGTTGCGTGAGTCGTACAGTGTACTCGTCGAGTCTTTTTTTTTTTCTTTCCCTCTCTTCCTTTTTTTCCCTCTCTCTTCAACACTCATCCTGTGCGACCTACTATTACTGCTTTCTACTGTACGGCATACCTTCTACTGTGCAGGTGCGAGATGCTCTCTACCTGTACCCCATACTCCAGCATGCACCTCATACTGTCAGCTCTCACCAACTGCTGCTGCCCTGCGTTGAAGGTAGAGTAATCCTACCAGCACTGCAGGTGATGCTGTTTACGCCATTACTGCAGGTGATCCTAGCATCCATGGTCGTCTACTCGTACCGTGACGTACAGGTCACACGTCACTTTCCGGCGTCGGACGGGACGGTTGTTCCGGCCCGAGAGGGGTTGAGGACTCGGCAAATCAGCACACTCTCTACGGAGTAAATAGCATAGAATGATGGAATTGTATCAATACTGAGCACTCAAATATGTGCTCGTACATTCCACGGACGTACCATCCTACCCTTCAGGAGCCGACGGTGCATATACATCGTAGATAGCAATCATGACAATGACCATAATCATGATAATAACAATAATAATAATAGCAAGCCCCTGATAACGCTGCTATAAGCACTTTCTTTCTCTCTCTTGACCTCGATCGAATAATCACTCAGTTCACTGCCCAGTTCACTACCGGATAGTCCCACCCAACGCAAGACGCCCGTTTTAACCAATCAGCCAAGGTTATCTTCCCTGCACACACAAGTCTAGCATCTGGAGCTACGAGCAGATGTCACGCATCGACGGGTCCCCTTGCCTTGTAAAAAGTGGTACGGCCCGCTGTCCATTGTCCACTCCAGGCACTCTCTCCTAGGGTCCTAGACTCCTAGTACTATGGAACCAGCGTTAGAGCACCCGTAGGCCGGTAGGCCCGTAGCTCAACATGACATGGCAATCCGTCCATGAGCTTTCAGCCTTGGTGTTGGTTGATTACCACGAGTACCGAAGTATTACAATCTCCATCCTCAGTACGCCGTTGTGACGCGTATCATCACGCACACAAAGTAGCACTGTCCCCGTGCACATGTGTTGCATAATTGCACTGGGCCCTCTCTCTCCTTCTCTCTCCTTCTCTCTCCTTCTCTCTCCTTCTCCTTCTCTCTCTCTCTCTTTCATTCCATCAGACCCGACGCACACGGACCCCCC